CCTTCATAATAAGACTAAATTCTAGTCTTATTATGTGCTGTATAACCTCCTTTCTTCTTCTCCAGTATCAAAGTATACCCCACAGCCCTATAATTTAGCTCTGTGTTTAATTTTAGTAAGATGAACAACTGCAGAAACCACGGCTTCCATGTATATACAGTACACGAAAGCAGCAAAATAGGCGTACAGCATCAAAATACTAGATGCTGTTCCAAGCTGTAGACCTCTACGTGGAGCATGGGAATCCACTGAAAGTGTAAAGTTTGATGAGTTAAACCTCGAGGCAAAATCCGGAGCCGGAGTCCCAGAAGCAGTTTGTGTCGTTCTGTCAACTCCTGTGACATTGCTGAAACCAGTTGTGCTGACTCTTGCCTTTCCATGGGACTATTTCAGCGACATGGAGAGGGGGGATTTGCTGGGTGGGTAACAGCCTATCCTCCATATTATTTTACCCAGGCTTCGTGCCCTGGAGAGGACACTCCAGCTTCACATACAGCATCATGTACAGCATCAAAACACTAGACGCTGTTCCAAGTCCTCCATACAGAGCACATTACCATAGTCTCTCGAGACTGAAGGATGCCTATGATTCCTTCCACACTGAAGACAAATGCAGTCTGTACCCTGTCCAGCTCCCTGGTTTTGCTGGTTTCGGGATGGCCTCTTTGCCTCGGCCTGCTGGACAAGGGTCTCTTCAAATTGGGAGAGGCCATGATGCACCGCCTGCCTCCAGGCTGAACCCTCAGAGGTCAAGGTTTCCCATCTGTTGAGGTCCATTCCTAAGGCCTTCAGATCCCGCTTGCAGATCTCCTTGTATGGCAGCTGTGGTCTCCCTCTGGGGTGATTTCCCTGCACTCATTCATTATCCATCCAGGCGATCTTTTGGAATCCGACCATTCCTTATATAAACTTACGATCAGACCCCCAACTTGATTTATCTGCAGTACTCCAAATCTGACAGGAGGGGGCGTGCATCAGCCACAAAAGATAGGGAGAACCTTTTTTCCAGAGGAAAATGTCATTCTTTTCCCATTATTACTGACTGGGTTAGTATATAGAGACAGAACATATTTTCTACGTAGCAGTAACATGTACAGCAAGAGTGATGCCCAGACCTTTAAATTGGTTTCCAAATATTAAACACCCTGCATCGGTGCAGAAGTGCTACTTTCCTGTGATGCAGAATTAATAAAACTCGCTTCCACTGACCACACATGAATCGCAAGAGTTTGTAACTCAGAAACAATTATCAAAGTAAGCATGCCAGTTTGCAGTTGTTATTGTCATCATCATCATTGTGTCCTGCCAAGTTGGCACCAATTTATAGTGACTCTAATAGGGCTTGGGGTGGGTGGATGAATATTTAAGGAATGGTTTCACCAGTTTGATTCCCCCAGTGAGTTTTCATGGCTGAGTGGGAATTCGAACCCTGTCGGCCACTCTGTCCACTTGCACTTTCTCTTACTCTGCAATGGCTCTAAATCCGGCTGGTCCTGATTCATCGGAGCGGGCTATCTCCCCAGCCAGCACAGAGACTTTGAACGTATCCAAGCAGCCGCACCTTAATCCTCCCAGTGCTACATAAGATACTTCCTTTTTGAAATCACTCTGGGACTTTCTTCTGCGGAAGCATGACTTGGGCCGGAGCAAAAGTCCTTTTACGGATCATCCTGCCTGCTGCTGCTGATTCTCTGCAGAAAACCATATAGCTTCAGAGATCAAAGTGTGGGCAAGCGGCACTCGCCGTTTGCCAGCTGTTCCCATGATGGCAAAGAAGCCGGCCGCTAACAGAGCCGTGAGAGTACCGCAGGATTTGCATAATAAACCATGCCTCTCCTTATCCAGCAGAGACATGAAGGAAGGACATATATTTCCTCTGTTGTGCTGCAGACTGGCTAGTTGATCCTCCCTGTAAAGCAGTAACCCCTCACAGAGCTGTGTACAAAAATGGCAAACTGTTTTCTAACACAATAGGCAGAGAATACTCAGAAGCACATTGTTTTCTAACACAATAGGCAGAGAATACTGTACTCAGAAGCACATTGCAGTGCCTTTCCCTTCCTCTAGGGGCAACCTTGAGACTGTGCAGCTGGCCCAAGGCTACACAGGCTGGCTCTTCTTCCACACTGTGGAGAATTGAACTCCCAATACACTATCTGGCTCCACAGCCAGGGACCTAACTCACTGAATTAGATTCTTCCCTTTTGTCCGGCCGCTGGACGCAGTCACTCTCGGCCTCCTTTCCAACTGTACCGACCTGTGAGTCTGTGAACCCTAACAAATAAGATCAGGGACCTTGGAGTTGCCAAAATTAGAGTATGGCGCAGAATTGGAGACCTGCAGATCATCCGGTCACTACCTTCTTCATTCAGGTGAAGTCTGTTGCAATTTTGTCCCTCTTATAACAAACCATGTCTGCTTTTGCATCTGTTAAGTAGAATTTAATGTATGCAAATCAGGTTCTTCTTTCTCTCTCTCTCCTTTGATGACCAATGCCTTTCCTGGTTTGATCTTTTTTTTAGTATTTGCAGACTTACTGGTTTTAGCTTCAAATAGTCTCTTTTAATGATGCAAACCACCTTGGGTCCTTTTTTTAAAGAAGAAAGGTGGGGTAAAAGAAATATTTTAAATCAATACATAAAATTAATTTTTGAATAGTGTCAATAGTTCTTATGAAGATACAGACAGGAGGGGAAAGAGTAATAGAAGAAATAGAGAAAAAGGTTTTTTTAAAAAAGCAATGAGAAACAGCACAACAATCACTCACACACACACACACACAAAATCTACAGGGATCAAGGCTGGCATATGAGCGGTGCTCTTATGCTCAGTGTTGTCAGCAGAAGATCGAGCGCAGGTGGGGTTTTGCTTCTGTTGGATGCTGGAATTGGTTCAAAGGCATGTCAGAAGCCTTCCGCTTGGCTTCATTCAGCCTGGATCCCAGGAAGGGTTGGAAAGATCCGGATGCCAATTAAAACCACCCTTAGGATTCTCTCCATAGAACTGGATTTCCACTGCAAGGCTTGGCAAAACTACCGTTATGGTCAATAACTTCCAGGACCCCAGAGCCAGCATTTAATTATGACGTTCCAAAGCAGTTTAAAAGTACACAAATTAATTACAACACCTCTCCCTTAACATCTTCAGTCTTAGCTGCCCGTCAGAACTGTCCGATGCTTACCTGAAGTCTTTGCGGTCCAGCAGAATTACAAGACAAGAAAGGGACAGCCTAGATTCTCTTGGCAGGGAGTTCCACAGTCCCTGGATATTCAGAATCTCCCACCTAGTGCGACCCCTATTGGCTATGCTGGCTATAAGATTCTGGGGATTGTAAGGGCAATTGCAAAAAGCAACTAATTCAAATTCCTCCTCCTCCTCCAAGGTATGGTGGCGATGCTGGCTTCGGAAACCTTTATCCAAATAACATTTGAGGCTTTGGTTTGTCTGCACTGCGATTCTGTACCAGGCTTCTCAGGGTGTCAGGGTAGATCCCTCCAGCTAGAACTCTGCCCCACTCCTGCTTCAATCTGGAAATGGGTGGCCTCACCAC